AGACAGCAGACTAGAAGAGAAAGAACTGGAGAAAATCACAAAATATAAAGACCTGCAAATAAAAGTAGAATGACTATGACAAAAGAAAGCAAAGATAGTATCAATAGTTATAGGTGCCTTGGGTGTAATCCCAAAACATCTGGAACACCACTTGAAGACCATCAGCATTGACAAAATTACTGTCAGTTGCAAAAGGCAGCTTTACTGGACCAGCTTATATCCTGCGATGATACCTTTAACACCATCAAACCATCGAACAACAACATCTGTCTATCCCAGGTCCTTGGGAAGAATTCAATAGGTGGATAAAAATGCCAAATCCAGTCTAAACATCTCACTGACTCTGCAACCAACAACAACATAATAATGTATTTATTTCAGTCATTGACCAGTACAATACGTAAATATCATACAATATTATAAACAACTAGAATCAACATAGGTAGCATATAACATATAAAGTTAGTCTAAAATCTATGAAAACTAAAGCTACTCTAAAAAAAGTTCAGAGTTAAAATGAGATATACCACTTAAGAATAGTAAATACATTTTACATGAACATTTTAGCTATAAAGACCTACTGCTGCCTGTTGTCTATAAAAGTCTTATGCTTTTGGATAGCTTCTGAGCAGAATCTCTTCGCCTAAGTTGAAACATCAGGGAAGCCATCCTTCAGTAGAAAATGGAGATAGGATTTTGTGGCTTTCCCTTCCAATCTCTTAAAAAGTGGAGTAATTCTCTGGTTACTGACTTGCTCATAAAAAGGGCAGCTTAGAAGAGTGTTTGCTATAGATTCTATTTTTCCTTCTCCACAAGATCAGACTTTCAGAATAAGGAGTCTTGTGGTATTTCTTCTGTGTTACTACAGAAGGAAATGAATTAGTATGTGCAATAGAGAAAGCCCACCTGCATTTATAAAAGGTTAACTTATGTGTTTAGCAGGAGGTCTAGGAGGACTTTCTGGGGCTTTTGACAAATCTTTCTGGGATTCCATATCTGCTATCCTTGATTTGACTATATTAACAGCATCTTCATAGCCCATCTGATTTAGAAATTCAAATGAGAGTCCATATGTCTTAATTTTTTTCTCACAGGTTAATTGCCAAGTGTCTTTATATTTGTCCAGTAATAACAGTGGCAGTAAACCAATGAGGTTTAATAAGACTCTATTCAGAACAGTATTCTGAACCAGGCTTGAGATTTGACAGTTGACATGCCTGTTTCTAGTCTTAATATTGTATTGGCTACATATCTTGGTGCACTTATAATGGCCCTAAGGAAGATGGCAAGGTAGTGATGTTTTCTTAGCATAGTTTGGCTACCAATTAATTGCACCAGCAACAACAAAGGATCACGATACCATGTAATTGCACCAGCAACAACAAAGGATCACGATACCATGCATTTATAAACTAAGAAAAAATAATTATCTGTTCTGACTCTAGAACTCTAAGCACATTTGAGAAAATGTAAATTATGAAGCAAAACCAAATTCTGAGGTTAGAAATTCTATATATGGCCTATTCAGGCATTATGCTAAAATTTGATCTCCTTTTTTATGACATGGAATAAGGTAGCTTATAATAATTTATATTTATTTATTGAAAAAAACAATCTCTCTGATTGAGTTACCGCTCAGTTTTTAAATACAGGGGTACCTCGGGTTACGAATGCCTCT